CTTACGCGCGTAAGACAGCCCGATGCATGCTTATTCGCGGATCTTTGTTAATTAAAATCTCAGTAACTATTGCGAATCTAGCAAAATGGTATAAGACTTTTCGATTCAGTTTTACTCCTTCTACCTGCCTACGAGAGATTGTACGGCCATTCTGGGACACCCTGTATATTGAAATATTGCGTATAAGTACAAGTGTTTTGTGCTGTGCAGTGTGACTTAAAAAAAATGACAAACAGATCTGGGCGTAGCTTTGGCGGGAAAAGGATAGATAGGAGAAGTTGCAATTTCCGGAAGGCAATGGCTAATGGTACATATCGGGCAGTTAGAGCGAGGGCGTCGCTCACGAACACGATAAGGAGTTTGCCAGAATTAGTCGGCGGAATGGTCTTACATGACGTTTTCTTAATTAACGATGAAAACCCGTCTCTTGCAATTACTCATTAAGTTGTTACGCAGACTCCTTAAATTTAGCTTATTACTGCCTCACGATGGACGTGGGAACATTTAAACCAATAATGCTAAAAATGTTTCAAAAAAAAAAAAATAAAAAAATAATAAAGATGTGTTGAGGGATGAGACCTCCGGTTCGAAATGGTTATTCCAAAATTGTGATGATTGTAACAGCTATTGCGAACCAATGCAGGATGTATTGCGAAAATATTAGTAATAATGTAGACAAAGCGTTTCGACTTTATTGTTGTAGTCTTCATCAGTTGCACACTAGTTAAAATTACAAAATAAAAAAATGAAAAAATAAACATTGTCGCAGTACAAATTCGTGTGAGGATAGATTTTTACAATGTATAAAAATTAAGCATACATACGAAAAACAATATATAATTGATCACAATAAACTGTGATGTAACGTGTAGTCACTTAAACGGTCAACTATTTAAAAAAAAACGTCTAGATGGTAAAAATAAAAAACTAAAAAAATAAAAAACCTCAACTCTATACTCTCTGTATGAAGATCTTCGACAAAGAATATAATTGAGATAAGTATGACAGCTCTGCGAGATGACGGTATAAATATTTTTCATTGAAAATTATATTTGCTCGCAAAAATAACACATTGGAAGAAAAAATACTTATTGCCTTGCGACTTTACTTTATTCGTGCATGTTGAACGACCGAGTGTTGATCGACCGAGTTTTTTTTCTCACCGCGCGAAAGTTGACACTTGCGTGGCGTTCTGGCACGCGAGTGTCAAACAATCAAGCACGCGCAAATCGATTAGCGGAATTGCAGAGCGATGTGTAAAATCAAGATCACGTCTTGGTTTAAAGCATACCGACGTTAAACCTTCGACCTTTATATATATATACATATATATATTACTTTACGCGAACTTTGTTGTAGGATGCGAAATAAACATTAAAAAGGAAACTAAACTTAAAGACAGTTTATTTGTGTGACAGGGTAAAGAATGAGAACAGGACACGCGCGAATAATCATATTGTCTAGTTTATTTAGATATATATAAACGTACAGGGAGATAGCAAGAATCATGAAATAAATCAGATTTTTATATACGTATCTAGTTATATGTACACATAGACAGTCAGTACTTAAGTTTGTAGCATGTTTTTTTTTTTTTATAGTACTGAGTCGATTTACGAATTCATTTTTACTTTACATTGCATCATTTTGCTATAATCTCATCAAATTGCTCTTTGAATTAAAAAGGGAGCGTTAAAATATTTTCTTTCTTTTTTTTTTTACTACAAATCTAAAATCCTCAATGATTAGAGAAATGAAAAAGAAAAAAGAAACAATTCGCGGATTAATATAAATAGGATTAATATGCAATTTTTCTGGAAACATACGCGTTTTAATTAGTATTCATTGAAATTCTTTTTTTCGCGGAAGCAATTATTAATAATTGTGTATGTACCTTAATTTTTTATATCCCGTGGATTTCTCACTTGAACTTTCCCAACATCGCTTTGAGCCTCTTCTTCTTTAACTGTTTAAACACTTATTAACTCGAGAGAGTTCAAAATTAGTTCTCGCTCCTGAGAGATAATTTACTATTATTCTAATAGTACAGACACGAAGATAATGCGAGGATGATGTGATTTATCATGGAAAAAAAAAACAACACAGCAAAAACATATATACTGCCGACATCAATAATCTTGCACGGAATCGTAATTGTTGTATGGAGGCGGGTCGGGTCGACCCTCTGGAATTCGGTACTTCTCCTCCACTTCCTGATCATTATCATCCTCGTATTTGACCGCGGTGAAATACGAACCCGACGTTGTGAAAGTATTGCTGTAATCTGGATAATCTAAAAAGTCAGAAAAAAAAAATCAATATCATATGTTTTGTTTTCTATATACTTTTTGTGGAAATTATAATCACTGTCCAAACGTACCATCCATGGGCTCTTCCTTAATGCGAATTTCCTTCGTGTCCTCATCCTGACGATCGCTCCGCTCCTTTCGGTCTCTGCGATCACGGTCTCTGTCGCGCTTATCTCGCTTACCACGATCTCTGTCGCGCTCGCGATCGTTGCTCCGCGATCGTCGCCTTTTACGATCCCGATCTCGATCGCGATCACGATCTCTTCTGTCACGGGGTCGTTCAATTTCTTCGATATCAGGATCCGGCAGTCGATCGCGACTTCGTCTGCGCTTCCGGTCACGAGATCTACTCCTGCTCCTTCGTTTGCGATCGCGCGATCTTCGCCGCTCTCTATCCAGCCGATCGCGATCTCTAAAGAGCGATAAAAAAATAAAAATTTTTATAAATTGTTTTTCATATTGAAAAACTTCTTTCAACATACTTGTTGTTTGATTGAATTAATTTGTCTCAAACCCACCTGTCCCTGTCGAGACCACGTCCCGAGGTTTCCCGCTCGCGTTCCAAACGATATCGTTCACGCTCCCTTTCGTTATCCTCCCGTCCCGAATGCTTGATGTTTACATCGGGGCCGCCCCTACGAGTGCCACCTAGACCGCCGCCGAGTCTTCGGGGCAGCCAACCTTTTACCGTTCTTGCTCGTTCAACATCGACCAACACTCTGCGACCATCTATTTTCTTACCATCCGCATGCTTATATGCCGCTAAAAGGTACCGATCAAAAATTACTGTTCGCTAACAGATTCATGTGCCTAATTGATTTATGACTGTACTACGTCCCGATAAGAGGGCGAACTTCAGAGGAATCTAACGTTTAAAAATTTCCTGGAACTGCGAGTCCTGGAGAAATAGTCCATCTCTCGAGATTGAAACATTTTTTTTCTGAATGTTATATAACTGGGAGTGTTATATCAGATCTGAGAATTTATTTTGAAGAGCAAAAATATATATATATTTTACAATCAAAAATTTCTTCAAGTCAATGTAATTCTCATATCTGAATGTTATCGAACCTACCACGTTCCAGGACTCACAAACTTTTGAAGAACATTCAAAATCCATAGATCTTGCATATATATATCGATCTAAAGATTTTCGGATCTACGGAACCATAAAAAACAAAAACAAAAAAAAAGTCGACCGAAATCCACAGGTTCTCAGATTCACGGACCACCTAAACAGGCGAAATTTACAAATCACAGATTCCATCTCGAACATTGTTTCGATCTGCTTTAGCGTGTGAGCGTTAAGTCCACAGGATCCTCGGTTCCGCAAATCCTCGATTCCTCTCTCAAGGAGTGCTCGAGATATTCTCGAACGGAGAATCGTGTAAGAAAAATAGAGGCTTGACAAGAATTTTGTCCGCAACTTTGCGGAATGAGACGCGGACTGCCAAACCAACGCAGTCGTCGCTCGATATAAGCCTTTAGAAAGTTTTTTTTTTTTTGTTTTTTTTTTCTTTTTAACGAGACTTGTAATCCCAGATCATCAAAATGACAAATATGCTGAAGTTGTCTTGAAGGGAAATACTGGCTGAAATACCCTGAGAACGTGTCTCAAATCAACAATGCTGCCGTTATTGCAGCAGAATCTGTCACTTTTTGTGCAATTTTTGTGGACGATGTCGGAGTAGCGAGGTAGTAAAACCACGAGTTGCAGCCGATCGCGCGCATATTCGCTTCTCGGCGTGTGTCGTTTTATTACATAAAATGCAGTAAAATATATATATATATATATATACATATATATATAATAAATATTCACACATCCGGTCCAGAGAATAACGTATTTCTGTCTATATAAATCAGTAATGTTTTCTTGTTGTGACAGATTGATTGAAAAACAAATAATATTGAGGTTTTGAAACAGAATTTTTTTATTTTTTATTTTTAATGAAAAAAGTGATGCCTAATAAATATTTATAAAGATATTGAAAAAATTAATTTAAAAAGATATCAAATATTTACAAAGATATCCATCACTAATAAATCTATTAGTGAAAAACACGAATTTTTTTTTGTTGAAAAAAAAAACACAAAAATGTATAATATAAAACATTTTTATTTAATAAAAAAATCAGTTTTTTTTTTTCCATTCCCTTAACGAACATTCGTGTGTTTCCAAATTTCTCATCCTAAAAAAATATCGCAACAAGTTTAAAAAATTCAATATGTATGTTCCAAAAATCACATTTTACGATGTGATAAAACGAGGAATGCGTCACAAGCCGTAGCTGTAGTACTGCACGACGATCGGAAGCAAGAGATGAATCTGAACTTCAGAGTATAGCTTAAATCTATTTGTTTTTTTAGATCCAAAAAAGTATAGCAAATACAAAAAATACCTACCGCGGTTACTTACGTACGGAAGTTAACACAAAGCTTAGGGTACGGTATAATTGTGAAATGAACTCGTAAGAGACTCGCGAGGAGATTACTCATTGCGAAGATGCCCAGTCTTCATACGTTCGTTCGTTCGTTCGTTCGTTCGATCTCCCGAAGAGGTTTACATTGCGTTTACCTGGTGCGCTTTTATCTCATTTTACTTACGATCAAACTGTGCGCATTTTTCGTACATACTTATGATATGTGTTACAGTGTGAATCTAATATTAGATTATTATATTTACCGTAATGTTAAAGGTGAGTGCGTTTTTCGAGATACTAATTGGTTCTACTTTGATAATTTTTTTTTCTTTGTTTTTTTTTTTTTGTTTTTTTTTTACTTTGTGTCGAGGGAAAAGAAGAGTATCGTTTTTATTCGTTTACGTGGTAACATGTTGCGCGATCGTAGATTCGAGGATCCAATCTCGGAAACCTCAAGGCTCTTGAGATTGACATTTCTCGAATTCTCTTGGAAAAATGCAATTCGCAAGGGCCGAGTGTCCGTGGATTCAATGATCCAAAAAATTAAGATCCAGAAATTCTACAATCCGCTAGTGTATTGTATTTTTTGCAACAAACTGATGAATTAGAGAAATTAGTATTCTATATCGAAATTGATATGTTCGACTTGTAATATATATTTCACAAGTTGCTTTTAGCAAATATTGTTGAATCCTGATTAAAACAGAACAAAGTGTTCAAATAATTGTATTTGCATAAATTTTTACATCACGCTCTGCGTCTTTGGACTCATGCAAAAATAAAATTTGTGTTCTAAATCTACCAATACACTATTTTTTTTTCACACATTCAAATATATATATTAAATAATACCTTCAAATGTTCTCTCGACCGTGGCATGGTTTTCCATAAATTACTTTAATTCCTATTCTATTTAATTGTTTTCAAATTCTCTTGTAATTAAAAAATAAGTACTTTCAAATACCTATTATAATTAAAAAATTAAATAAATAAATTAATTAAATTAAATTTACCTAAAATTAAAATATTAATAGCGCTGAAACACGTGTTACGTAAATGTGCAATGAGACGTATATAATCGTCTATATATACATATATATATATATATATATAGACGATATATATATATACAACTCATCCCATTGTAATAATATTGTTAGAACAAATGCCAATCAGCAAGTTGTAATTGTAAAATATTGTTCTGCGCGTGTATAAATAGACAAAGAAATGTGTGCAAAGTAATACCGATTTACCGCGTTTTGCTGTACATTTGCATGAAAAGAACGAATAGCACCTAATTGCGATTAGTAGTGTCCCTGAACCTTCGTCCTAAAGCCTCATTACTCAATTTCAATGTAGAATGCTAACTTTCACGCGATTTTGTGATCCATAGACGCTAACGTCCGCGACTTGTGTACGGATTAGACAGCAGAGGATCCTAGAATCTACAGATCCACGAATCCACGAACGGTCTTAACGGAAATGTGTTATTCATTTTGAAAGAAAAGTACCACCCGAAATGTACGTAATAATAGTTACGGCTCAAAATTCGAGTCAAAAACTCCCATTAAAAGAACACAGGGGTTTTTATCGCAGACGCCCATTTGTGTCCAAATCCAACCGAAATCGCGATATTGCTCGATAAAAATCATCAGACACGATAATTAGGGTAAGCAAATAGACGCTAACAAACGTTGTTGTATGTTGGATCTTACCACACATACAAACCTATCTTATCAGGCAGGTTCAGGGATTTTGCATGGAATAGTGAACGGCACTAGTTGCCGGCAGCGGCCACCACGCTGTACCAAGAACAAGATAAAAACTGTATTAATCAAGGATAGCCAATAAGCGTTCGCGAGGTTTGTTTTAATTATTTGTTTGTTCTGCTTTTTTTACCGTATTTATGCATTTTACAGAACGATATTCCTGATGGGTGAGTATGGCGGGAAACCCCCCCCAAATCGTACTGTCTGGTTTAAGTACCAAAACTGGTAACTATTCCCTGCCTAACTATATAGCCCTGCCCCCACTATCTAGCTGGAAGTGACGCTAAGATAAAATTCCAGACTATACGGGGCTCATTGAGCTTCGCGAGAAGGGTACCACTCTGTTTTTCTTATTTTGTTTTACCTCGTTAAGGTGTTGTTACTTACAGTGCATATCTCTTTCATGTTCATATTCAATGAAGGCATATCCTCTGGGTTTGCCATTAATTGTATTATGTATTACTACAATCTGCAATAAAATAACATTACTAAATAAAAATCTCAACCCATGTGATAATAAAAAAATTCTTAAGCATCGTGGAGAAAAATATTAATATTACTTTTTTCACCGGACCATAAACTTCAAATTCTCTTCTAAGTTTGGATTCCGATGTGTCATAATTCTGTGAGAATAAAAACAATATTTATGCTTCAATTTAGTTCATACAGTTATTTTACTTCATATGACCGTGTATACGGTAGTTACTTACAATTCGAGCTACAAAGAGAGTCTTAAAGGGATCTGCTGTAACATTGGAAATACCAGCTGGGTCCCATACCGCAATCTCTTGCTCAAGTTTATATGCTACTTGCTCCGCACGTTCTCTCCTTCGACGTTCGAGACGTTCTTCTCTGGTTTCCACACGTACAGGTGGCGGTGTTTCTTTGGGGTCCTGCAAGAGACCCACAAACATTCATTCTCAATTAAAATGTTTACAAACACGATTTTTTTAATCGACGATACAGCTGTAAGAACAAAAATTCTCAATGCATTTTTTCTCTTACCTCGAAATATTTGAGGAAATCTCCGACGCCCACATAGCCGCTGTTCTTCTTCTCGTGGGGAAGTTTGCTAACCGGTGGTAGAAACGGAACCGGGTCACGCGGAGCGAAGAGCGCCAGTAAATTCGGCGGCAAATATTGTGTCATTCCGATGAGATGTTAGACTCACTCACCTGAACGACGATGTGTTTTAGAAAATTTATGAACCAGAATATAAGACAAACGGTATTAGCAGCATTCTCCCGCTGTCTATAAAATGGCCGCCACGTATTGCTTCCGTAGAGAGAGCGCCACTATCACGTTTATTAATTATTAATTTGTTTAAGCCGGGAACACACGAAAAAACGGACTTAGGCTGATATTACATTTGTCGTACGATAAAGATTTTAAGTATATGTTGATTGGCTATCAGATGAAGTTTTATAAAGAACTGTATTTGATAGCCAATCAACATATACTTAAAATCTTTGTCGTACGACAAATATAATATTGGGTGCGTTCAGACAACTCAACGGTTGAGAGATCATCACTTATGATAGGACTATTCTTCAAAATCTGCAGCGGTTCCAAAAGTACGATCCAATCACAAGTGATTATCTCTCAACCGTTGTGCGACTGTTGAGTTGTCTGAACGCACCTATTAGCCTTAACCATTGAGGAAATCAACCATTCACATACCGACATCGGTTACGTTCAGAAAACTCAACGGTTGAGAGATCATCACTTATGATAGGACTATTCTTCAAAATCTGCAGCGGTTCCAAAAGTATGATCCAATCACAAGTGATTGGGTACGTTCAGACAACTAAACAGTTGCACAACGGTTGAGAGATAATCACTTCTGATTGGATCATACTTTTGGAACCGCTGCAGATTTTGAAGAATAGTCCTATCATAAGTGATGATCTCTCAACCGTTGAGTTGTCTGAATGCACCCATTATCTCTCAACCGTTGTGCAACCATTGAGTTGTTTGCACTGAACTATAATAGGCGATTTTTGGCAATCGTATGGTACATATACCAAAGTGTACCAAACTATAGTTCGAGTGACTTCAAATTATAGTTCGGTACACTTTGGTATATGTATCATACGATCGCCAAAAATCGCCTAATATGGAACGCGCCTTGCCATTGTGCGAGCTGTCCGCGATAGAGAGCATCACAACTAGGATCTCTGTCTTTGTCTCGTCGTCGCTGATTGGTTGAAATTTATACGAGTACAGTCCAAGACAAAAAAACAACGAAAAGTCATAGACGTAATATAATATATAGACTGCGCGTTCCCTACCTTTGCCATGTTAAGAAAATGTCTTCAGCGTTGTGAGAGACAGCTGGTGTTGAACAGTAGCGTCATCTCCGTCTAGCAAAGTAGTGGGGATGAAGAGGAATGAAAGAGATTAAGGGGTGATGATAGGTTAGGCGATATGAAACAGTATGCTTTGCGCACAATAGACAATATTAGGGGAAGAGAAATATATATATATATAGGAAATATAACACTAATAAAATGACACTAATTTGCTTATAATAATTACACACCTATGAAAAGTAGGGTGCTTTCCAACTACGTACACAAGTAACACTGGCTGCTTTCCTTTTAGGAGACACAGTCGACACAAGTCGACACAAAAGTCATTCTGTCTTCGTTCAATATTCAGTGAGAAACAAAGACAGAATGAAACTTGTGTCGACTTGTGTCGACTGTGTCCCCTAAAAGGAAAGCAGCCACTGTGTAACACAGTGTCGCCTGTGTACGTAGTCGGAAAGCACCCGTAATACGCGAGTTTTTCAGCGACCGCTCCACTCCGCATACACAACAACAATTTTCACCATTTTGTCAATTTTCTTGTAAAAGATTCTGATTCTGACCACAATAATCAACTTTGTCAAGATCGCAACAGCCAAACCCGTGGCCATATTGAATTTTAGCCCCACTACTACAGCGTTCAGTCATTCAGTCACTCAGCAATTGCTGAGCGCTGATTGAAAGAATGACTGCCGAACACAGTCATCATTCTTTACTTTTAGTTGTTCTTTTGTTTTGGACTGTATTCGTTGCTAAGCGCTGATTTCTGCTGAACGCAGTCATTCTTTACTTTTCGTTGTTTTTTTTGTCTTGGACTGTACTCGTATAAATTTCAACCAATCAGCGACGACGAGACAAAGACGGAGATCCTAGTTGTGATGCTCTCTATCGCGGACAGCTCGCACAATGGCAAGGCGCATTCAATATTATAGTTCAGTGGTTGTCTGAACGCACCCATTCTTTTGAACGTTGCTTATATTTGAGAATACTGGCCTGTGATTGGTTGATTTGCTTAATGTTTAAATTTTGACTGCTTAAGTTTTTTTCTGTCTGTTTGTGCTTTGCAAACTTATACAGATGATACAATTGGCCAGTTCTCTGGGATTTTGCAACTGCAATTTGCGACCTTTGATTTTATAACTTTGAACTGCTAGTCGATATATTTTCATGTTGTAACGAAGATTACTAGCGCGTCCATGGCGCAAGCGGCAGAAAAGTGAAACATACAAGCGAGATAGCGACAGTACAAAACGAAGAAAGAGAGAGACGGAATCACAAATACATTGCTGATGATTTTCTCAAATTCTTGTTTCAAAAAGTAACAGTCTTATTACACATGTATGTGATATTCCTATATGGCTAGTTGAGCAAGATTCCCATAAGCGGGATTTGACCCAACACTGAAGAATAGAAGACAGACGTTTATTGACTCTTCAAGAAAGAATAGGACAAGTGTTCAATAATTGTTAATGCGCAAATGTGGCGGGAAAATTTAAACAGATTTATCAAAGGAATTTACTAATTGATAATTAATAAGAAAAATAATTATAAAAAGTGTCTATAATAGTTTTATTGTTTAATTACAAAAAATTATACGTAAAATTTTATTAGATAAATATGTTCAAGGCATGATGTAAAAATAAAAATTAATTTGTATTGTGCAAGAAAGTGAAAACAATATAGAAAAGAGATGAAATAAAACGTTAAAATTTTTAGCACAATAATAAAAAATATCAGTGATGTAATATATTAATAAAAGCAACATAATTAAGTAAAAAATAGAACACAGCACATGCAAATACACAAGTGACACCAAATATTTTACAAAAAAGTAATATATTTATTTTATGGACTTATAAAATAATATTTACAAAGATATTTTACATATATACAAAGTTACTGAAAAGATCCTTAATTTTAAATTGTTTCTCGTAGACATGACAATACCTCACCATTTTGCACTGATTTTATTTTATTTTTATTACAGCAACGGAATTTTTGTACCACACAAATAAACTGCAAACAATGGGTGCGTTCAAACAACTCAACAGTTGCACAACGGTTGAGAGATAATCACTTCTGATTGGATCGTACTTTTGGAACCGCAGCAGATTTTGAAGAATAGTCCTATCATAAGTGATGATCTCTCAACCGTTGAGTTGTCTGAACGCACCCAATATCTTATAAAACTTTTGAGGTTATACTTCACGTCACATGTGCTATAGATTTTTAGTACTGGCAGTGAATATCGGAACGTGGCCAATATAGCATTGTGGAAAAATGTCACGCATGCGCTTTACAAACGAACTGAGCAGTGATAAAGAGAGAATGAGCATTGTCTGAACCGTGTTAGTGTTAAGACCCCGCTGAGAGCTCAACTAGCCATATGGGAGTATTACACATATGTTATTACATGTCAATAGATAACCAATAAACTATAACCAATAAAATATATATTCACTTTGTCACAAAAGAAGGCTCGAACATCTATTCCGTTTTTCTCTTTCTTGATAAACTCGCCTTTATGTTTTACTTTTTTGCCACTTAGGTGATGGAGGCGCTGTTAATCTTTGTTACACGGGGAAGCATTGAAAAAAAAAAGGGGTTTAGAAAAACTGACATTTCAATTATCGAATAACGATAGTAATTTTTTATTTACTTTCAAGTAAATAATAATATATATTATTGTTTTAATGTGTGTGCAATTTAATTATTTTCCTTATTTTGTGTAAGATATGCGAAGAATACGTTATGCAATCGAGTGTTGTTTTTGCTAAAAAAAAAAAAGAAAAAAAATTCATGCAACATCAAAAGACGTTGCCGTTTCCTTTGAATTCTCTCGTAACGTCGCTTACTCAACTTAAATATACATTACGTAAGCGCTATCGTTACGTACAAGTGCAGTCGCTTTTGATAGCGACACACAGTTCCGCTACCTGTTACCTGTATTTAGTTTGACTGCTCTTTTTCCAGGAAACACATTCGACTTTATCAATTATTACTTCATAAAAAAAAGATAAACCTACTCACAAGAAGAGTTTTAAAATTAAAATCACTGTTTCATCAAGCTAACTCAAAGGTCCAAGATTGTACGTGACTCAGATTCGTAAATAAAACAGTTTACATTGCGTAACAGTAATTAGAATGCAAACGCGAGCGATTCTCCACTCGTATATATTTCACTGGTAATTCACTGACGCTCGCCAAAATAAATGTAATGCTCGTCAAAATCGACTGTATGCAATTCTATGGTGTTTCACGAGCGTATATACGTGCCGCGACGATGCATTCTCGCATGAACGCGTACCGAATAAAGAGCGTGCTTGCAATTTTTCATGCGTCGCACGTACTTTTACGCACACACGGCGCTCCGAAAATAGTATACACAGATACATACGCGGAGAAATTTTCTTTGAGCCAGTCAACTTTTTTTTTCTCAACGAAAATTTATTTTCAACTTTTTCCGAATTGTTTAACAAATCTTAGTATGTACACTGCTTTCTTCTTGTATGTATAGCTAAAATATCTTATTTTTAGCATATTGGAAGAATCGAAAAAAAACCGAGGTTTTATTCTTTTCAAAAAAAAAAAATAGATTACAATTAGTCAGCGAAATATTTCGACTCTGACTGGAGTCTTCTTCAGTTCGCAAAACGATACAAAAAATATTATAAAACATATTGCAAGTATGAGATGTCGAATAAATGTCAAATAACAAGAAGCAGTCGCAGTGTAAAATAAATTAGACGTGGCGCGGTTGGCGGTTATCAATTTAATATTTTATGTAATATTTTTTTGTAATATTTTATTTGAATTTTTCTATTTTATTAAAATCTTGTTTAGTTGCTCGAATTTGACCTATTGTCACATTTTTATTGTATTTGCGATACGAACGAATTATTCGATTATTTTTTTATTCTTTTGTTTGTGTCATCAGCAATTAGAACAACTAAGTTTAACACTTTCTAGACATC